AAAGTAAACTACTTCGTTGATAATATTATTTTTTCAAATTAGACCAAATTACCATATATTAATATTAGACTCGTTTTGAAGCTTGCATTAAATGGTGTATTATGATTTCGAGGGAAAAAAAAAGTTATTTTGTATAAGAACGAATGAATCAAGTTAAAGCCAGCCCAAAGTAATTTTGGTTTTGTCAAAAAGAGAGAATTATTGAGGTTTGATTAAACCCAAAACAATTTTTGGTAAAAAAAATAGGGTTAGTGACAGAGTTAAAAACAAGTAAGACGCGTGTCATTCAATGATTAGACAATTTATATAAAAAAAAATAAAATTTATGCTAAAACATGCACCTGTTTTTTTTTTCCCCTATCCCCAACCCTGTCTGACTAACTTTTCCCACCCAAAATATGTTAAGCCCCTATTTGACCAACGTTATTTTTTTCATTCTCATTCTTCTACTCATTTTCAACCATACATTCTTTAATAAAATAATATTTTCCATCACATCAATAACTTTTCCTTCATTTTCACCCATATATTCCCCATCACATCACTTCAAAAAAATGTATTCTCTCATTTTAATGTGTATCAAACAGGCTCTAAGACGAATTCCACGCACTGACACTTTCAACGCCTCACATTTTTTCTCTCCCCAATTTATCAGTCCTTAGCCTCTTTTTTCTTCCCTATTGCTATTTACAATCGAAGCAAAATACACGTGTACATATGCACAAAACACAATTATTTGCAAAAGGAAATGTATAGATATTTAATATTTTTAAAGGTTTTGGACTATTATAAAGAGGTGTGAGCGATTTGAAATTTATTATTCAAGTACCTATATTTTTAAATTTAACGTGAGATGCTCATTGCCATGAATGAATTTTTCACGTCTTTTCAAATTTGTCATTGTTTGTAAATTTTATTATTTCAATTCAAGGCTCCTTCAAGAAAATTCATCATGTAACAGTTACAGGCTTACCTTCGGGTTACAATTTAACATTCACGTTTTATAATAGCGCTTTTAGTTGAATTATCATTTTTTATGACGTGACAATTTTTAGCTTATGTTGGTAAGAGAGTTTATGTATAAATGAACGTTAGGATTGACTTTGAAGTAAAAGGCATTTCATTGAGTATAATTCATTATATTTATCCCTCTTCATTTACAATATCAAGTGAAAATTAGTGTATTGGGCGATGGAGGATGGATAGATGTGACATTGATCCTCGTCAAAAAGTACATTAACTATTAGTAATATTAGAATTTCATTAAGTATATTTTAATTGTTGAACACATTATTTTCTTTTGTTGAGAATTAGGCTCTCTTTCGTGTAACTTTATGTTTTGAATTTTGGTCTCTGGATTTTGGCCCAAAAAAAGAGAGAATTATTGAGATCGAATTAGTTTTTAAATCTTAGCTAAACCCCGAACATGTTAAAAGGAATCAAATGCATGCCCCCTCCACTGAAATATTTACATAATTTGTTTTCATTGACTTGCCTGCATATTTGTCACATCATCTTTTTCTATGCTCTTATAAAAGAAGAAAGGGGAAAGGGTAACGAAACCCAGAACAAGCATGGAAGCATTAAGAATAGC